ACCTTTGCAAAAGGCTGGTCTGCAACAACCAACTCAGCGTGAGTTGATACGCAAGTGGGACATCAGGCTTTTCAGACCTGACCGCGCTTTCACGAGCTTGCGCTTGAAAGATTGCCAAAACACCTTTTTGAGGTCGGATCCCAAAATCGATTCCCAGAATGCTTCAGAGCTGTTTGAGGTACAATTTGGGTTTCTCACCCTCCATACCAAGTTGGTGAAGTTCATGGGAACCGGGCGTTGGCCTCTTTTTTGTCCAGCAAAACCTCCGTAGGCTGCGGAAGAAAGAGAGCTCGGGGTGATGAAACTCGCTGGATTCTTCAGAACAGGTGACCCTCTGTTCACGGGAGACTTCAGACCCTCGTCTTCACGCACATTCGAACTCCACACGCTGCCCCTTCATCCGGCTCCGCATCCGATGGCGGGTCCGGAGGCGTGGTCTTTCCAGCACCGTAGTTCCGCAGAGAGCTGCCGGAGCGGCCGTTCTTTTAGGCCGTTTGAGGTGTTTGTGACCATGGCTATTAGGCTGGAGGCCATCGCGTTCTGGGGAGTGGATCTGGCGACGACCATGATCATAGTCTTGGACGGTGGGAGCTCCAAGTGATTTGTGTAGATCTGTGTCGTGTAGTATGTCATGGAATGAATGAATCCTTCGGTGTATCGATCGCAGAGAAAGCTTGGAAATACGTCACCCGCCGCCAGAGACCTGGAACCTGATGGCATGGACCAGACTGGAAGACCACTCTTTTCCTCCCGACCGTGGTTTTGAGGTTCCATGTGGGTCTCGAAACCAGGGCATAAGACCTTTGCCTTTGCCGTTGCCGTTGCCGATGTGGCGGTTGAGGACACCAGGTCCTGACTTCGGTCCTGTCCTGCGGTCCTGCGGTCACGTGTGGTGCACCCTCCACGCCTCCCCAGAGGTGTGGTGCGGACTGGTGACTGATGTTTCCTTGACTAACGTCAAGGCTCCAACACATTCCAACACCATCAATGTTGGCAGTGACCTTCTGCGCCGCCTTCTGCGTTGTTCAGTTGTCTCCTGCGCGTGCGGGAACCCTGAACCTTCAAAAGAGCACGTTCGCATGAAACTGGTGCCCAGGTGAGTCTCAAAGGGAAGGATGATGAGCAAGTTTGGGAGCGTGTCTTCCCAGGGATTTTGATACGATGCATGCCTTACTTTCCTCAGGGGCTCCACAAAGAAAAACACCTGTGATGCAGGTTTTTGAATCCTTTTCTTTAGGTGCTAAAGCTTGACAGTCCAAGTCTTCACGCTCACTGACTGATACTAACAAATAAGTGCAACACCCCTTGTTTAAAGAGGAACACTACGTTCCATGTTCTTTTTTTCTCAACATCCTTTTAGTCACATGCCCTTTGCGTACTCTTGGACCCTCACGGATGCTTGGCCGCCACGCTCTGCAGCCGTTAAACGGCCAAGCCGACAGCGAGTCGCCTTTGACGACTCGGTTCGTGTAGGTTGCGGTGAATTCTTCATTTTGGCACAGCACAGGGGCAGCGCCGACCATCAACGACCGTTTCTTCTTGTTTTAGTTTTGCATATGTTCGCGGTGCGCACGCACTCTGAAGCAAACACCTGGAACCCATATGAGCCCATAATGTCACAACCAAACTCTATTGCTTCAGTTTCGTTATGCCAGCGGCCAAACCCGAGAAAGTGGGAAGCGAGAAGGCGAGACCGGAGAGGGAGCTAAATGTGAACAAACTAGTAACAAAGGGCACGGCTACGAACGGAGCGATCGGACACTACTAGTAGCTCCTGGCATTACTGCTAGGAACAAGAAGCTATTGGGAGCAAGGGCATCGGTACTAGTAACAAAGGGCATTACTATACTAGTAGCATTCTTACTACTAGGAACAAGAAGCTACTAATAACATAGGGAACCTCGTGTGACACTCGACCGGCTTTGAGCTGCTTTTCTTCTCGGAAAAACACGCTCGCTCCGATCGACCAGATGTTGGACCCTCAAACGCAACGCCATGTCCCAAACGCTCGGTGGATGACATATTTATGATTATATATGCATATATGAAATATTTTAAGTGGTTTTAGGGGTCAATCTAGACATGTATTCCAGTTCCATAGAGTGTTTGGGTGTGAGATGGCTTCAGCCATCGGCAGCCGACCCGCCCAGGCGCCGCGGGCGGTGCGCTTTGGAGACACTGTGCCACTTGGCGGGCGCAGCCCGTGTGTGTGTGTGTGTGATCGACGGCCAGTGGCGGAGGCGACCTGCTGACGAGCGACGGAGGCACCACATCTAACTTCATCTAACCCGTCTGGGATGATAGTGCATCGGGCAGTTTTGTTTGGGATGCTCAACAAGGAATGTGCCAAAACAATAAGCGCTTTGGTTGATTCAAGATGGTCATGGCAGAGAGCACTGGTATGTGAAGCGTTATTCACTGGAATTCCTTGGAGAGCATTAAATGTTGACAATGCTGCACACCCATGAAGACGAACCTCTTAACAGGACGATATAGCTATATAGGTTGGTGGCCACCGCAATTAGGTTAGAGGCCATTGCCATTAAGATAGAGGCCATTGCTATTAGGTTGGAGGCCATCGCCATTAGGAGGCCATTGCTATT